ATATATATTTTATTTTAATTATAAGATTTAGTTTGTTCACGAAAACAAGGCATTTTAATGAATCTCTTATTAAACTTATAAATATATTACAATGAACATAAATATAACTGATTTAAGATACATTGAATGAACTAATACTCATTTTGATAAATTATCATAAATTAAATATCAGTCTGCTAATAATAATTAAAACAAAACATTTTAACGTGCTTCTGTACATATTAAGACGTAATAGGAGACACATTTTAAAAAATAACAAATATATTGCAGAAACCTTATATTTTTGTTATTTGTTTATATTTTATATTTCATTGTAATATAATTTAATAAAATTTAACCGCTCATATTGTTGTATGATTTAACAGATGATTTACATTAAAATTTAAGCATGTATAATTTGTCTAATTCCATTTTAATTTACAATACTAATTTTAGACTTTCATATGTGTAATATTGGAATTTTTAATTTATTAATAGTATCAATAGAAGATTTAAAATCTTTTAGATATCATTATTACATGCTGATGTATAAGTATCTACATGTTTGTGTATAAACAAAAATAATAATTTTCTATAATATAAAGAAGCATATAGCAGAATCTTAGAAATGAGGATAAACTGTCTCATTATTTTTATACTGTTTTTAACGGACTACTTAAACTCATTTATATAAACTGTTGTATTTAAAATAATACAAATAACTCACCAAAATAAATAAAAATCTTCAACGTTGCACTGTCAGTTTTAGTACACTATACTGTTCTATCGGCGTTCACTAAATAAACTCACACTAGGTCTCGTTGAAGACCTTCACCTTAAAACCACTAAAATTAACTTTATGGTCCACCATCCACTTTATCCTCAAATGTATCAGGGTTTCCAGGATCTTTTCAACTCAGCATATTTTTTTATCACTTATTCACTGACGGTAGTTCTATATATATCTATATATATATATATATATATATATATATATATATATATATATATATATATATATATATATATATATATATATATATATATATATATATATATATATATATATATATATATACATATATATATATATATATATATATGTAATTAAGAACCGAAATACATTTTGCAAAAAGTACTAATGATACAGGGTGGAATAGCTGGTCAGGGTTGGAAATCTGTAAATATATAGCTTCAACGTAGACTATTCCTTGATATGCCAGTGATACTGACAATATCAATTTCGTCCCTTTTCCGAAAATATGTCTGATGATATTCTCCGTCTTATGTTCTCCGTCTCACTCTCGTTTCTGCAACACGAAACACACGGCGGCGGTGCCGCCTTACATTAATATGGCCGTCCAACATATTCGCGTGCACGCTCCGTTCTGCCTATAACATCGTACACGTAGGCGCCTGTTTTCCTCGCCTATACAACCGCCGGTTTCCTGTCGTACGCCACTAGTCGCGCTTTTATCAAAAACCGTGATCGCGAAGATGTTTTACATTCTTCGAACACGATACAGATATTATTTGACCGGCCGGGATATGTTGCGAGAGAGTAAGCTATTATTATTATTCTGATTTACGAACATTTTGGAAGTTCAAAAATCAGCTCTCATAAGATTCGAAAGTGAATGACGTTCGATTGCCCATGACGAAAAGGTACGAGGGAAAATGTGGCGTGCTCGTTGCATATTTTTTTTGGAATGGGAGGGTATTGGAAAAGGCAGGTCGCGTTTTTTGGGTACTGGAATTGTGACTCAGAATTTGGGTTCTCATCCAGAAATAAAAATGAAGACAGAGACAGAGAAAAACAAGCACCGTATCCTCCGCGCACTCGAGCACAATCGTCAATCCCCTCGTTCTTTTCCCTTCCGTCTCTCTTTTTCCTATCGCTGTCTCATTCTTACTCACTCTCCCATCGTATCTCTTTAATCTCAATAGGTGTATATATTTTTCTCTCTCTAACTCGCGCCACCCTTAAAGAATCTTCGTTTTCTCGCTTAGACGACCGACACGAAAAAACCCACTTAACCCCACTTTTTCTCACACATGCACACAGCAAAAGTAGAAGTCACATTAATTTCTTTTTTACACTTATTAACCGCACTTTTTGACATGCGTTCACACACATTCATATAAGCACTGTCATACCACTCAACGGTAACATCGTCTACGCAAAGAATTCTGATTCGGCTTCGCTCTTTTCGTCATATACATTGTCGTACATATTACATGACATATATTTATATATATTTATTGCAAGATTATTTGCACATGTGTATGCATACATATATACGTAAGTATGCATATATATATATATGTATATATATATATATATGCATGTATGCATGCGTGTATGTATACATGTGTGTATGTATGCATGCATGCATGCATAAATGCATGTACGTACGTATTTATATACTCATGTGTATACAAAATGTATGCATGCACATACTGAGGCGGATAGACACTTAACCTGTAAAAAAAGCAGACAGTGACACATCCTTTATAGCTTGTAACGATTACAACAGATTTTTGAAAGTAGAAAAGATGTCTTTATGAAAAATTTTCAGTGAAACTATTGCCAGTATTTAATTTTTCTCTTACCCTTATTCTCTTTCTCTCTCTATTTCATGACTCCTCGATCTTTCGCATTCCGTCCTTTTAGCTTTTTGTTTTTACTCTTATTTCGTCGACTAACGAAAAGAAAAATGAAATGAAAAGCCTATAGCCCCTTAAAATGCTCTACAAGCGATAATTTACTACACAATGCATCCAAACTTTCACCCCTATTTTCCCTCTCTATCACACACACGCTCAAACATATACATGCACTTTTGGGCTTACACTATTAAAAGGAAGCATACGACTTGTACGAGGTATTTAATCTTTCGAAGAACAAAATATGATAAAAGAGGATGGTTTGATCATATATTTTTATAAAATAGGAACATATACAGCAAAAACTGAAGAACCATCGCTTAACTCTATCTCTCTTTCTCTTACATCACCAGCCTCTTGTTACTTATACCTTTCTCTTAGCCAGATATGTAATTTTACAATCCACGAAAATACGAAAAAATAGACTCACTTAACCTTACTTTTTCTTATTGAAAAATTGAAATAAAATACTAAAATTGCTCTCACCCTTCTCTTCATCTCCCTTGCACTACAAGATCTACCTTGATCTCCCCATATTCAGCTATTCAAGCACGCGTGCCACTCCTAAGTGTAAAAAAAAACAAATATAGCCGAAAAGGCTCACGACTTTCCCTCGCTTGCACCACGATTTTTTAACGACGTAATCTCATGACGGAGGAACAATTTTCTTCTCCATATTCACACAAACAAACTCCACGACAATCACGAGCACGTTATATGCGTGTGTTCTCAAAGTAAAAAAGAACGGTACTTGTGAGCAAGTGTGCGTCTATTATACTTGACGTATATATGCATTTCTTTTTCTTATTCTCTCCCTTAGCTTTTACCCTCTACTAAGTTCGTTTCCGCTCGCTCGCGTCCTTTGCTTCCTGCCGCAAAAATCTTCATCGAGGAATAATGAGAAAGAGATACAGAGTGAGTGAGTGAGTGAGTGAGCAAGTGAGAGAGAGAGAGAGAGAGAGAGAGTTAGGTAAAACATCGAGTGCTGCAGGGCGTGAGGGGTGGGAGTTTTCAACTAGAGACATTGATCACGCTCGCTTGGCTGCTGCTTTCATTCAAAACTTGCTCGGAAATCCTCTTCCCTGTTTCTCTCACTCACAAACTCCTACATGTGTGGGTTAATGTGACATTAGTGTGACTCTCTCTACCTCAAGCTCAGGTGTGTCGCATATTCACGGAGGACGCGACGAAGACGAGGGACCCGGCGACGACGTAGGCGAGGAAGGCAGCAACGGCATCGGCGTCGGCGACGGTGGTGAATGCAGCGAGCACGAAAACATCACCAACAGTACCGACATACGCTTTCGCCGCGGCCATCTTACTTTTTTGCGTGTACAAACGCGAGAGTAGTCCTAAACTCTCACGTATACTGACTTTTCTCTCTCTTGCACTCTCAATCAGTTCGTATTCTAAATCTAGTGGCGCCACCTACGATTTCCATTATATATATATGCGTGTGTAAAGCTCCCATTTTTTTCATTTAATTCACGAATCTACTGAGAGTATAGAAAAGAGAGATAGAATTTGCGAATTGTGCATGTAGCCCTATGTAACACTTGCCATATATAGGCCTATCTAGTTTTCACAAAATGCAGATAATTATAAAATAGAAAAATATGAAAAGTTTTTAAAGAGGGCGCTGGAAATGATGTGGGCGTATGCGTTGGTTTACACAAAAATTTACAAGTTATATTTCTGGGGATCTACATTTCCTATCTTTTTAATCTGAATTTGATTATGGCCAAACTTGACTAAATTTAAAATTTTAGCTTTCTTATAATTTACACGAAAACTTTTCAATACTAATACTATTAATTTTAATTATAGTATAATTACATTTAATTTAAAAATTTTTGTTTACAATGATCGTGTAATGAAACTATGCATCACAATTTTAGATCTTTTTCAAACTTATCTGATATATGTGCAAATAAATTGTTTTTATAATAAAAAAATTTATTTATATTATAAATATGTGACAATTTATTAAAAATATAAAAAGAAAATAAATTCTTAAGTTTATTAATATATTTCAATGATAATTATAGTAGTCAAAAACAAATTTAGCTGAATATAAAATATGATTTTATAAATTCATAATTTTGAATTTATGTGCATTTGAATATATGATGACTTCATAATTTTTGAGCAGATAATTTCATTGTTTAATTTTTGATAATGTAATATAAAGACTGATTCTTTCCAAATAAAAATAAACAATTATACGTATATATTAATTCATAATGTATGTAATAATAAAATAAAAAGAAATTATAAAAAGCTTTATAGTATATGCTTATCTTATATAAAAATAGGATTATTTTTTAGGTTAATTGATAAATTACAAAAAATAATAAATCTATAAAAACTTATATTTTCTCTTTGTTCATCACATGTAGTTTATCAATAGCAAACTTTCTTTCATTAGAATACAACTAATATATTTGTATATAATTGATTTACATTTAAAATGCATTGAAATCACTTAAAAAATATCAACTTTCATTTAGCATAGTAATATTTTTGCATCCTCATATTTTTTATAGACACTGTTAAATGTCTTATGAAAGTAAGCAAAATGCTTTGACAAAAATATAAGCAAAGGCTGAAAAAAGAAAAAAGAAATATATATTCTTATGAAAATTTTCCCTTTTACACTGATTCTCAACCTATAGATTGATCCACAATCCAGAAAAATTAAATAAAAATTTATCTAACTCCTTAATAAAAATATAGCAGTCATTTAGATCTGTCTTTTGTACATTTTGGCAATTTGTAATATACTTTTAATTCTTGATAAAATCTTCAGTTTGTTTGGCAATGCTGGAGCCATTTAAGCCAAAGTAATTCAACAATTCATCAGGTTTTCCCGATCTCGGTACTTCTTTAACAGCCAGCTTTTTCAAAATAAGTTTCGGATGCTCTGATATAGCCGAAAGAACAGCCTCACCTAGGCCACCTTCTGGATAATGATCTTCAATGGTCACAATCCTACCTTTGGTTTGTATTGAATTCTCAATGATGGCTTGCTGATCAATAGGTTTGATAGTGAAAGGATCCATTACTCGGACATTAATTCCAAATTTGGCAAGAATATCAGCTGCTTTAATAGCCTCGTGCAAGGTAACGCCAGCGCTAATAAGCAGAGCTTGATCATCGTTCGACGATCTAACAATCTTGGCTTTACCAACGTTAAATACCTCGTCATTATTGTATATTACAGGGGTGTTAGGCCTCGACGTACGAATGAAACAAATTCCTTTAGTATTGGCTGACAATTCAACAGCCCTTTCAGTGGCTACAGCGTCTGAAGGGTAGAATACTGTTGATCCAGGGATCGAACGAAACATTGCTAAATCTTCAAGAGCCATTTGAGAAGGTCCATCCTCTCCAATAGATACACCACAATGTGAGCCAACAAAGTTTACGTTTGTCTGTGAAATAGCTCCCATACGAATCTGAAAATATTTTTTATTAACATATGAGTTTCAAAAAAAATAATTTATAATTACAAAATTATAATTTATAATATATAAAAATAATATAAAAATAGTTTAATTAAACGCCTTAAATAAATCTATAATATCTTTAATATTTTGTAAACACTGAAATAAATTATCTACATGGACTAGAACTAGAAGACTATGTACTTATGTTTAACCGCAAATTAATTTTAAGAAAAAATATTAAAAATAGTATATAAATTAAAAAAATCATATTACCTCTAGTAATAGTCTACAAATGTTATTTTAGTTATTATATATAATAATATTTATGTAATAAATATGTAATAATATTTATGTAATAAATATGTAATAATATTTATGTAATTACCTTTGAAAATTGTTTTAAAATTGACAAAAATTTTCAATACTTGATTTATTTTTAAAATATAGTTTATTTATATGAAATCCCTTATAGTTCTCTTTGTAAAAAAAAATATCCAAGACTAGGTATACACTCACTTGATCGAAACTGCGAGTGAAGAATGCAGCAAAAGCAGAAACGAAAGCAACAGTACGATCTCTACAGACAGCTCCGATTGCAACACCAACCAGATTCTGTTCTGCAATATAACCCTCGATGAATCTTTTAGGATCAATAGCCTTAATCTTTTCCGCGAATGTAGAATTTTTTGTATCACCATCAAAAGCAATGACACGTGAATTATTTTTTGCCACCTACACACATTAAACATACATTAAAAATTAAAATTTGTATGTACCGTTATCAGAAATGTTTATTTAGTAAATAAATTGACTTAAAATTTATAATTAAAAAATAAATATTATTTACTTTGGCAAGAGCAGTTCCGTAAGCAAGTCTAGTCGCCACTTCTTCTCCAAGCTTATACGACGGTGGTGTATCCAATTTTATGTTTTTAATATTCACGTTAGGAGCATCTTCGATCGGTTTTTGAATCGTACGTTCAAATGTTGTACCATTTTTTAGTAACGATTTTAATTGCTATTCAAAAAATAATTCTCACATAAAACAATATAATTTATTAATTCACAATAAATTGTTAAAAATCAACTAAATACTAACTTCGATAACGTTTTCACTTGTGCCACCAATAGGTTTCCCATGCCAATTATCTTTATCTTCAATGTTAGCAAAGTTCTTACCCTTAAAGGTTTTAGCTATAATAGCAGTTGGACGATCTTTAGTATTTTCAGCTTCGTGGAAAGCCTGTACAGTAAAAATAAATAAGTTTTATACTTCTTAATACGCTTAATTTATGTATTTCAAAATATTAAAACATCACAACTAGAAACAATTTTATAAGTAATTTTCTTTTTATCTAAATTTATTCATTTTGTTAATGTATATATTTTTACTTTATTTTATTAAAAGATATAAAACAAAATAAAGAATGCATTTAAAAGATAAAAAAATTTAATTTATAGAAGTCAAAAGACTGTTTTAATATATGTTTTATGATAGTTATAATATAAATTTTATATTAAACTAACTTACTTTAATATCGACTATTATTAATTTAAATAAGTTATAAAAAATATGATATTAAACTTATTTAAGTAGCACTGTAAAAAAATTAATTATTAAGAAATGAAATATGCGTGTAACTGTTTCCTTTTTTATAACTTAAAGAAATTCATTGGTATGATTTAAATTAAAAAAGCAAAACCAATATAGAATTAATTCAATGTTCGTACATATTTATTCCATATATTATTATGCATTGAATATATGAAAAAAATATATAATATAAAGAGTAAATTAATAAGGCTTCTTTTAAGTATTCAAAATAATAACATGAGTTTTCGAAGTTAAAATCACAGAGATATTGTTGGGTTGCTTTAAAAAACAAAAAAAAAAGAAGAGAAAAAAATAAGCAAACAAACCAAAACAGAAAAAATTTAATAGAACATTTTAGTAGGTTATTGCAAAATTTAAAAATAAATAAACCAAGATCAGTTAGTATATTCACCTAGATATAATATTTTTCTTCCATCAATCCTTAATCTTCTTAACTATAAAAAAACTTTTAGATATAAAAGCCCACTATGATTAAGTAAGTAATTATGATTTTATTGTAATGTAAATAAAATGAAAATAAAGTGGGGTTAAAATACCAATGTAATGCCAGTTGCCACTATTTATTCTCAGATTTATTCAAGATGTATTCAAGATTTATACTGTTACGATCTAATCTTTTAAATCAAACAGACTCTTAGGTAAAATCCAGTATTTGTTTGAATTTATTACAAAAAATGTTGATAAAGAAAAAGTTTTAATCTATTCTGATCGAACCTTTAAATTTTAAAGGATATTTTGTATATTTTCAACAACAATGAAATTTAGTGTTAGTCTGTTTATATATTTTTAATAAAATATAAGTAACTTAATAAAAATAGCATTACTTAAATAATATTTTTTCTAATTTTTGTAATGTTTCATATAATTTTTTCAACCTTTTTTGTGATTCTTAAAGACTTTTGTTTTTTAAAATAAAAAATAAAATCAAGAATAAAATAAAGACATACTTTGACCAATTCTTCGACATCGTGACCATCGACTACGAGAGCGTTAAATCCAAAAGCCTCAAGACGTTTACGGTATACTTCCATATTATGCTGTAAAGATGTGGGTTCACTCTGGCCTAAGCGATTAACATCAATGATTACACATAAATTGTCGAGATTGTAATTTGATGAAAAATGTAAGGCTTCCCAAATCGATCCTTCCATCGATTCACCATCGCCGATCAAACAGTACGTTCTTTAAATTAAAAAATATATCTTATTAAGATTTCATTTTATAATTATATATATATATATTTATATATATATATTTATTTATTATATATATATATATTTATATATATTGCAAATAATGTATGACTTAAAAATAATTAATAGTTTTTGAATTAAAATTTCTTTTTAATTTTAAATATTCTTGTAAACAAATTAAATATTGAACACTGACTTATTGAATCATCGGAATACGAATTATTTTTTACATAAATAAGATTTACTATAAATTAGTACTATATATAGTGTAAAGCAGACTAATAATTGTTAGATTAATATTTATCAAAATAAAAATGTATATATTCAAAAATTAATTCAATGATAGTCAACTCATTTCATGTGAGCGTATATCAAGAAAATTTTACGTATCCAAATTAATCACAAAATATATCTTTGCAAAGTTTATACATATTTTTAATGTTATTCAATTAAATACAATAACTTTGGTACAATTTATTTCCAAAGAAAAAAAAATTCTTAATGCTAACAAGTTACATTAAGTAATTATTAGATAATTATTATTATATTTAGTCCTTTAAAAGATATATATGAAAACGAAGTTTCAATTGTACAATATTATATTTCTATTTTTGTATATCCATACAAAAATTTGTTAAGTAACAAAGAAATACTATTAATGTAATGAGTTTTTTTTATTATTATTAGAATTACAAATCAAATGTACATATAAAACTGGCGCTATAAATAAAATAAGGCAAATATATAATACATTAAAATTAAGTAAATAAGAATGTAAAATGTGAAATGTAAATTTCTTAACAATAATTCCATTTATTAATATATTACGACGGATTTTATAAGAAAAATTTCAATTAAAACTATGATTCATTACTAATTTACACATTTAATCATTTCATTTATAGATATTTTCTTTAAATAAAAATGTGAACAAATCTTGTTTAGAACATAATTAATATGTTAATATTTTGTATCTATATGAGATGTGAATGCAAACGGCTGTAGTTACAACTTTGAAAATACAATATGTTTCTTCTTTCCATATCTTTGAAAGTCTACTTTACAATATAATTATTATCAGGCTCAAAGTTTTACAAAATTCAAACATTTAAAAATATTTTTTTAATGTATTAAGATACCGAACATAAAAAAGGTCTTAAATAATAATGTTAATAATTTGCGCGGTTCACAATACTTCGGTTATTGAGTATCTTGTACAATTACATGTTGAACAAAATTAAATAATGATAATATATTTATTTTATTTTATTTTATCTTTTTATTGCGTGTATTTAATGTATGCGTAATGTATTGCGTGTATAATGTATATTATAATGTACTTTTTAAATTTAATAATTTTGTACCGGTTGTTATTATAGCTATAATAATCATTATTATATAATTATAATTATTAATTATAATGATGTTTATCTTAATATTTTTACATAAAATTTAATTGCAAATTTTTTTTTTAATTTTCGAATGCATCTGATAAAATACAATGCATAGAAATAGGTCCACAATTTAAGTAATTAATAAAGAAATTTATAAATATGTAGATATATATATATATATATATAGCATTATAATAGATAATAGTAATTTTATTCTCGTTTGTAAAAACATTTTAATTTTTTTATTTAGAAATTTCGCATATATATAAAGAAATAAATTAAAGATATATAAATAATAATTTCTATTCGTTATTTAATAGCGACTCTTATAAATTTTCTTTTAAATATTCTCTTATTAAGTTATAAGATTGAAATGAGAATATGTGAAATATACCTATAACTCGCCTTGTCGTAGTACTTGCCAACATACGCCATACCCGCTGCAACGGATAAACCCTGACCGAGTGAGCCCGTGGCAACGTCGATGAAGTTTAGTCTAGGTGTAGGATGACCCTCTAAATCGCTGTCAAATTTACGAAGATTCAAAAGATCCTCAGTAGAAAAGAGACCGGCTTCAGCCCAAGCTGCAAAAATGTATTTTTAAAATTTTTTGATACTATAAGTTGGATATTCTAAATGTCATTGTGCGATAGAAGTATACATTTTACTGAGAATATGTTTTTTGTTTATCATTAAAAACATTATCTTGGTATAAGTATTTCCTATTTATATAAAATCAATAATGAAATAATGTAATGCAATGGAAGCTTTTTCTTGCATTAGTAAATAAATTTATTATTTACCTGCATACAGAATTGGAGCCGCATGACCTTTGCTTAGAATAAATCTATCACTGTTTGGATCGCGAGGATCCTTTATTTTGTACCGCATCGTATGGAAGAACAAGACCGACATTATTTCTGCAATGGATGCACATGATGTTGGATGTCTGTAAAATAATAAAATACATTAATTAATTTTATTTTCTTAACTATAGAATATTATATAAAATTCTAATTTATAACATTTTTCATAAATAACGATTTTAATAATAATAAAAATACAAATAAAAATACAAATCTATCAAAAAGTTTTTAATATTTTTTAAAATCTATGAAACTTGAATTTAAAGATTAAACATATTCCAAAACTCATCAAATTCATTTTGATCTACTATAGGTTATCTTTAAATGATTTTTAATATAATTTGTATTAAATTAATATATTGATTATGTAACAAACTAAAACTGTTACAGCGCAAATAATTTCTTCTATTAAACTTATTTCTTCATTATATTAAAATAATTGTATACAGTATAATAACATACAGTAAATAATAAATAATATACAGTATAATACAATGGAAAATTTTAAAAACTAAAAAATTTAGGCATGTATTAAATTCAAATTTAAAACCGATAATTTTTTAAATATTCAATATTAATTTATAATTTATACAAATTTGATGTAATTTAAGATACATTGGCATAAGCTGCGGTGTGTTAAAGATTTTCTTCAAGGTCAGTTATTTATAAATAAATAGAAAATTAATTAAAAAAGATATTTTATACAAGTTTTTAATACTTTATAAGTTACTTAATAAAAGTAAGAAAAAGTAGAGGATACTCAGCTTGCTTTTTTCCAATGGCAAATACGCATGCGCATATTTAGTACCTCTTTATTACTTTAATCTAAATATATTTAAAATAATAAATATAATAAATGATAATAATTATCGTTTTCTAATTATTCACTAATTATTAAAACATGTTATTGTTAAATAGCAATAATTCATATAAGAATAATCAATATTATATGTGAAACTCGAAATATAAAAATAATAAATAATTTTCTAAGCTCTCGTTAATTTGGTGTATGTACATTAATATAAAATTAATAACTTTCTAACGCTCTTCAATTTTATATATAACATATGCACGCACACACGCACGCACGCATACACACACATACATTATACTTATTAAAAATTTAATTAATCGAAAAAATTGTTTTTAATTATCAGAATACAAGATATCACATGAACCCGATATGCCATAATTGCTTAAAATCTCGATTTTTTAGAAAAATCAAGTTTTTTGTTATTATTACGGGAACTGTTGATAATATGAAGTTTCAGCTTAAAATAGATATCATTTTTACATATATACAAACAACTTATAAATGTAGAACCACATTTTATATTTATTTTTATCATAATATTGTGTAAGATAAAATTCGTGAATAAAATAAAATAAAATAATGAAAATTCTATTTGATATATATCATATAGATAAATCACTAATTGAAATCATTTAATTGATTTTGCTCATTAAGCGAAAAAATTAATCATATTACAAGAAATATCAATTGTAATAATTGTGTATAAAGAATTATGTTATAAAATCACTATAATGTGTTTCAAAATGAAAGGCAATTTAAATTATCAAATTAATAGTCAATGTTCTTATCTGTAAGAAACATTTATAAAAATATTTATTACATTGATTACTTTATCAAATCAATTTTTATAAAGAATTTTTATTTCTATATAAAAATTTTATTTTAATTTGATGTTTGATAATCTTAAAAGTGTTATCATTCTGTTAATTATAAAATACATTTTTAATTATAAGAAATATAATTATTTAAAACAAAAATCTATTATTATATTATTAGGCAAATAAATATAACCTTGAAAAAATTTTATGGAAGTGTATGCAAAATTTGTATATTATTATTATACATGCTTTCTATAGTAATTAACTATAGAAGACTGAGATAGCTATAGGAGAATTTACTGTTTAGAGTGGTATTGATATATCCCCGTATATTGCAAGTTTGTCGCCAAGATAAGTCGTATGTAAGTTTAGTATGGCAATTGAACTTATTCTTTTAAGGTGAAATAAAAGAGTTTTAGTTAATTCTTTTATAATAGTAAGAACTGTTTAAATTGAAATACGACGGTGCTCAATTTATAATTATTATACTCGATTCAATTAAACTGAAGATTTAGCTTGCAAAATTGTAATCAAAAGCAATTAGAATGAGAATTAGCATCTGCGAAAGGCGTGGCCTATCAACACTAAAAGCTGAAAGTTGCAGATGACAATTTCATTGGTTTTCCGATGAGCGAATATTGAAGGGTTGGAGCGGGCGAACAAAGGGAAGGGCCGCGCAAATTCTGGAATATTGTGTATTGTACCCTTAGTTTCCCCACCTCTGTCGCTTTTGGATCGACGGGCGCAATTATTGATAAGTGGTGGGGAGATTTCGTTCGGACCCCCCGATGCTTCCGATCGTTATTTCCGAATACTCGCGTTAGTTGACAGGTCATCTTACCATAAAGTTCGATCGCCATCATGCACATTGATTATTCATTTGGCCCTCCTTTTATTATCAAATCGTATCTTCATACCCGGTCCGATACTAATTACCTACAATCGCAAGTACACTATACCTTATGACCCCCTCTTCCACCCTCGCCGACAAGAAGCCAAACAAGGGGACTATAAATTATTCTGCTCTCTCTTCTGTCCCCTTAAATCACCTCGTCCGCTCTTGGAAGTGTTAGTCCCCCGGAATCTGCGTATGCAGAGTTTACGGGCCAGATTCCATAAAATCGACGCATTGACGTGACTACCCATGATAGCGCCAAAGTCCCTCGGGCTCTCGCTCACAACTGGCAACTCCTCGAGTGCTACGCGCCGACATCCCCGAGCACTCATGCGCGCGCCCTTCGACGCACCGTAACCCAGCACCCCTTCCCTCATCCCTCACACTCATACATTCACATGGTCCACCTGTAAGTCATCCTGAGGACATCATCGACTTACAGGTAAGTGGATTATTGTGAGTACAAAGATTTTATGTGCTTTAGCAAGTTTGTTGAATTATCGAACGCCTATTTGATCGATTTGAATTTTCAAATATTTTTGAATACTTCATCCATAAATTGTATGAGCTGCATTACAGAGATCGAACCTTTTCTCGCACTAATTAAATTCTCTTATTTTTAATATGTTCTTTAATATGTCAGTGTTAAAGGATTATGAAGTAAAATCCTTGTATTAACATGATTAATAATATAGCTTCAGTTGTACGTATTTAGATATTTAAGTATTTGAATTAGAAAGCAAAATAATTGTAAATTATACAATTATATTTACTCAGTCAAGTATATTTGCAATGGGAATGTATAATTATAAAGAATAAATTAACTATGTTATTAATAGCAGATGATACTATAAGTAAACTTTACAAAGCTGATTATGTTGCTAGTAAACAAAATAATTAGCATTATTTATATTACTCAACAGCCCAGGTTGACTATACATTTAAAATAATATATATATATATATATATTCTCTAATAGAACTTACCATAATAAATATTATATAATAATATTTCTTAGAATTTTTTTATGTAACATATTTTAAATACGAATAACTTCATTTATAATATTTTTCAAATATTTACTCTTTATTATATGACATCATATAAAGCGTGGTTTTACTGTCCATATCAATATATTGTATAGTACTGAAAACGAATTAAACAAATCAAACACATTTTCTTAAAACTTTTGTATGGCTAAGCTTTACCTCTATCAATCATTTTATGTTAAATTCAATCATAAAATAAAAATTACTTTCATTAGAATAACTAGTCATTATATCGAAACATTTTGCCCGTTCAAGTGAGACAGTTAGAAATTTATGGATTAGATTAGATAAAAATTGCTATAACAATTAACTAAACCTGAGTATTTTTATTTAAAATATCACATTATGTTCAACTCCAAATAACATGTTTGACTATTAAAAAAAATCTATATTATAATTACAAATTTTCAATTTTAATTAATTTAAATTTTAACATTTACAATTAATTTAAAAAATACATAAACTGTTTTCGATAAAAAAAATTGATGAAATTATCGATTTTATAAAGATAAGTGTTAAAGTAATAGGTAATAATAATGTTTAAAATTATATTCATATATTACATATACATATATATATATATATATATGTAAACTGAATAAAAATAAACAGATAAGTAAACTGTTAAGTATTAACAAGTAATATATAAAATATTTACTATTTTTCTCGTTCTTATATTTTATTGAGCAATTTTGACGCACTACTCATGATAAAAGAATTCAATATTAAATCTATTATGCAACATCATCGATTACCATAAACTATATCCACAAAAATAAGATCCATTGCAATGTTTGAAAAGTATCCTAATCAAGAGATACTAAAGAACTTAAAAAATAAAAATTATATAACATTATTAGTAAAGTGTGAATTAACATAAAACAATTTGCATCTATAGAACGAAATATTTATTCAGCTCAAATTGATTCGCAAATTAATATTAAAATTAATTTAATATTTGAAACCGAAATATTACTATTACAATTAATTAAAAGGTATAATTTATTTTATCTAATATTAATTATGTTTTTAATACTTTATACCTTCAATTTTATGTATAATATATGTATATAATTAATAAATAATCATTTAGAATTTTTAACAAAAATAGTAACTTAGAAGGTTTTTATTTGAGAAAACATCGACTTATTTAAGGAATTGATAGGCTTAGACTTTTCACTTATAATTTACACATTGGTTGATACATGCGATTAAATAAAAAAATCAAATAACAGAATATACTGTTTTGCAAGTAGTAATTAAAATATGGATTGCAATATGTTTGTCAGTCGACGAAACAAAGTAGAAATCCACATATTGTATTAACTGCTTAAATCATCTACAAAGATAACTATGATATTCATTCATATCATAAAAAATCTTGTATTTCTGAGTTTATATATTGTATTAATATTTTATGTAATGTATCTCCTTAGTAAACATAACTGCTATAATGCTGATTATTATTGTGTAATTGAAACTTATGGAAAAAAAAATCACGGTCTTGTGTGATTTCATCAAGAGATACCATGTATGTTATAAAAAATATGGCACACAATACGAGCAAATAAAAAACGGTTATTTATAAGATAGCAAATATATTTTTAATAAAATACAATCGAGTTACATATAAATTGAATTTCGGAGTATTAGCTAACTATTCATTATTAACTTATTGTTATTATTATTAATTAAAATGTTAGCATTATAGTAATCAAACATGAAATAGCAAGAGACAAACGAAATTAAAAATAATTCCTATAAATATACAATAATTGTGTAATCCTTATCTGGTGAGCATGCATAGCGGCATATTGATTTGACATCCAATTCGTAGTTATTTAGCAAGGATGGACAAGACAAGATACGTGCGCGTGCGCGTTTGTTACAAAAAGGGGGGAAAACAGATAACGGTGTGTCGCGTGACAAGGCACGTATAATCACGACTCGTTATGTAACGATACTATAAAAATAATGAAAAGAAAGGGGCATGGAGAGAGAAGTGAGAGAAGGAAAAACCCTCCGGGCATCCGTCGTTTAGTGATCGGGAGTTGCTTTCGAAGCCTGTCGCACGGAATCCTCGGAGACTGGTCGCGTTACCGAATGACGATGAATTACTAATATTTCACTCGAGAATCGAGGACGTATTTAAATTCAAATGCTGAAAATTGAAAATCCTATTGGAAATCTTTTAAATAAATCGACTGTGAATCGACAATCTGTTAATATGCTTTACCGAATTTAATAAAAAGCATGATTAATTCTCTCATTCGTAAAGTGAAATGTTTCAATTTTTTTATTATGCAACTTATAAGTTTTACAAAGTGCTGAATCCGAGTACATGTATAATTGTATTTAATTGCATTCATAACAAACACGCGGGCGCCTTATAATTATGAACCACCTACTTAATATTTATTATAATCTATTTCAAAAATATCAAATTTACATTTTTTGAATTACATATTTGTATTTACGAATTAACAAAATTAACGTAAATTTACGAACGGTTTTAAACAAATACTATATTTAATGCAAGACTAATCTATACATTCTACATTCTTAATGTAAAAAAAAAATACTATTTTAAACATGTCTTTTTAGTATCAGGTATTTAAAAGATATAAATCACATACAAGTAAACATTAAACGTACGTAAATAAACATATATAGATGTATACCAGTTTTAATGAACCATTATTTTCTCAACCTTAATGCTTAAATGCGGATATAATATATGTATTATAATGTAAAATTTAACTCAATAGAATTTTGACAACCATCTAAATATTTACAATTTTTATGAAGCTTATAATAAAGAAGTTTAATCTATATGCAGCTACAATCTCCCTTTTATGAGCTCTTTTACCTGCTATAAATGTATCTTTTTATTTATGTAGATATTCGTTTAATTTTTAACAACCATTACGTGCTTTGAATAAAATTAATTAATTAAAATTAAGATTCGTACATGCGCGCGCGTGTGTGTATATATATATACATACAGTAAGTAAACATTTAGTTTTAATTTATGATCTATTGCAAACAATTCATTAAAAATATTTTCTAAGAAAGTTTTTATTTAAGAATTACATTATTATAAAAATGTATGAATTCCAAATAATTCTCATAATATAATAAACTGTAATAGTATTTTATTGATAAAAGAATTTTGTTTTATTTCGATGAGTAAACCATTTCATTAAACTTAATTTTTTCTCTTACTCTACTAAAATCAAATTTGCATTCGCATGTCGTTAGAAACATTAAAACCAAATATATAACATACAATGCATATACTCCCAAGATATTTAATACGAATTCTAAAGAGTTTGGTAATTTTAAATCCAAATATAATATAAACAAAATGTTAAGTTTATATACATATTGATATTTCAAAGATGTAAATATGAGACGATCTTTGTTAATTTCGAACTTTGAACCCGCACACGTGCACGAAATTTGCATAAACGGAATATTTTTCAAAACTTTTAAATGAAACCCCGAAGAATACATATAAATATTTTTATAAGTCGAAACAAAATTTTATGCTTATCTTTTAACCTTGCGATTTACATTAAATTATACAGTGCAAAATTAAATAAAATAAATATGATAATTTAATTATTATTAATTAAATGATAATATATTAAATTTTGAATAATATTTTAAAAATAAATTACAATAAATGTACGTGCAGCCATTTCACTGAACAATAAAATAGTAAATTTCTTAAATATAGAAAACTGGTAAATACTTGTATTATCTTAAGATAATAATTCATTTGATACCATAAAAAATTATAATCATATAATAAAGAAATTGAATATTTATTAACTTGTGTATATTTCAATTTCTACTCAATTTATTTTGTCAAGTTCTATTGTTCAAATTTCAATATACAAATAAGAATCAAAATACATTATTTGATTGACTGACAAAACAATTTTTTTCCACATCATGAAATCACAGGTTTAAATATACTTTTTTAATATGCAAATATATCTTTACGGAAGGTCAAACAAAATTTAAAAGACGAACATATCATAACATATCATACACTGCAATCGACAGATTTGAATCGGTTTTCAAAATTAAAAAGAGCTCACCCAGATTTGCTGGCTTGAGTGGCCTTGATCGAGTGGATTCTTAGAATATTGGCAAGGTCCTCGAGCTTAGCGATCGATTTAGCCTCCGGCTTGTGATAGTTCATAATTACTTTCAATTCCAGGCCTCGAAAACTTATGAAGCTACTAAGCGGCACGTGGGCGCTTTTCTATTTTCGATGAGAAATAACAAGACTCGTAGGAAGACAGCAAAAGAAAGTCAGAAGGGAGGATAGATGACGGGTAAAACGATACAATAAGTGACAAACTCCGGAATGTCTGATACCGCAGAGTTTCCAAGTAGAAAGAACGAATGTGCACACCACAACCCGGCAAACAATAACAACCATCAACTATAGTATTACTAAGATGGCGTGTAAAGAAGAATTAACTTAGTTTTTTCCATTGCTTTTTATGAACGCCGTTGAAATATGTTGCGCGCGCTTTTGCAATACAATTTAAGACCCCGCGCGAAATTTCAATTTAGCATAAATCATTATTTGGTTGTAAGCAGGAAACTTAAGTTATTTACAAGAAAAGCGATATTTCTATGTATTTTTTGTAGCTTTCATTTATACAATTTGTTTTAATAGCTATTATAAATGAGACAGCTGAATTATCTTTTTTATGTTTAAATTAATGTAAAATTACATTCAAGTATTTTTTATTTCTTCATTTCCTTAATACATTTTATTGATTTATGATAATTACATTTAATATTTGTATAAGTTTAATACAGAAACAACTTGGTATGTACAAAAATAAACAATTTAAGCATCTCTGGAGTTTATAAGTAAAAAAAATCATTTAATTGAGACAAATTTAAATAAAAATAATTATTATTTAGAAAAATATTGATTATTTATCTTACTTTGCATTGTTTATTTTATGAATTTACACGCTATTAAATAAGCCATTAAATTCAAAACTTCTTTACATTAGATATATACTTAATGTAAGAAAAACACAAAAAAATGAAAATTAAATAATTTCCACGCGTAATAATCAATTCAAAATGAAAAGTGCATTGGAGATTTGTAATGAATATCAAAATAGATGTACGGGATACAGGTTTTATATGCCTTGCTTGAAAATACATAACTTTTCATATAATGCAAAAATATGTTATGATTGCTAATTATCTTCATTCCATATGGGGATTTATATTTCTTTTTTAAAATAAATTTTAATTATTATTATTATTAAATATTTATTATTAAATATTAATATTATTAATATATCTTATTCACGTTTTAAAATTGTGTTCACGTAATAGTATTTATTTAATCTCCTTTCTAGCTGGAAATGATCTTTAAGGTTCCATTAAATAATCAAATGACCATGAAAAGAAGATCAATTTAGATGCACAAATTATATTTCAGTGAAGGAATTACATATATTTATATTAAAAAAAATACACACATAACACAATTCGATTTAAAAAAGAAAAGTTTTATTTTAGGTACTTAAGATAAATGAAAATCGCTTTATCTTACAAATATAATTTATGTACATTATCAGTAAGCAGGTATTTGTTCAATAAATGAACAGAGCATGAAAGGTGTGCTTGATTCTTAGAATAAAGGTTAAGCTTAGTATTTTGATTTTTAGGGGTTGTGCGAACGTATGTAATTTACTTTTTGTAAAGCTTAAAAGATTTTTAAAATCCTATTAAATTATTTACATATTATTTACGTACATCGTGACTGCTTTGAATGTAACTATCGATTTTATGCATAATCAAGTATAAGGCTGAATTTAACTAAGATCATTTAGCTAAATACAATTTATACTTGGTTAGTCTAATTCAATAAGACTTAATTAAAATTTCATTTGAAATTTGCTATAAGTATGAATTGTAATATGATAACAGACTCAAAAATTATTTAAGATATGAAGATCGTTGCTTTTCTTTCTATAACTTAAAAATCTAAAACTTTATAATTGATTACAACTGTCATTCAGTGTGATTAATTTTCTTATTTTTGTTTATTAAATAAGCACTACAATAAGTTTTATCACATGGCAGGTAAGATCTACATTCAACAATATCATGCTCATTATTATGCAATATTTTAACTGCAAATTTTGTAAGCTTTTTTCGTGTAAAATGTATATTGTATTTTATTAATTATTCTAAAATCAGATAGGTCGATGATTGTTTATTTACTTTGTTTCTTTCTTCGACTAAATTTTTTAATTACATTAAAATGTCTTTTAATGCTAATCAAATTGGAAACTCTGTAATATAATATAAAATAAATGTATACACTCTTGATTTAATCTGCATCCTGCGCAGTAAGAAACAAAAGGTTGTGAAAAAAATCTTGAAATTTAATTTTCCTCGTGAAAAACGTATCGCAACATTTTCTATGATGCAGACGTTTAACGATTATTTTAAAATTTATATCATCAGTCGCCATTAATAATAATCTCAATATTTTATCAATTTAATTTACACAGCTTTACTTATATTTTATGATAGTACAATTTACAATTCAGTCTGAACCATCCAATGAATGAAGCTGAGGTACATACGTAGAAGTAACAATTTTTTTAATTATAGTTACTTGCATTTAACAAAAATTATAAGAAAGAAAAATTAACAGTTGAAGTAAATATTCGTAAATATTTAGACATATACAATCGAGATCATTCAAAAGTAATTAAGAGATTTCTCGTATTTAAAAATTTTGAAAACATATAAAATGACTGTAATACAGAAGATCAAAGATAATAAATATGAAATATTCAATTGTTTTTTTATCTAACTTTAAATTACTTGTACATATTTTAATATAAATAATTACTGTAGATTATTTCTTTCCACTTATTAACAATAACTATGAAGGCAATAGTAAATTTTTAGGGTTGAATAATTTTCATTGAAGACGTTTCAAGGGAATGTAAAGCACCGATTGTGTAAGTTTTCACTTCATATTTAATTCATATTTTTACTTATTCCAACAAATTTATGGTAATTATTGTATATTACATATCCAAGTGTTTATTAAATAAATCAATGTTACTTGTTGAAATAAAAGATTTAATATTAAAAGTGGTGCACGATTATCATAAGATCGATATTTTTATAAATAATTTATAAATATATATAATTTCTATCGGCATTTTAGTTTTTATTCACGTTTGCCTCTTTCTAAAATTAATACGATTTTATCAGACACGAGAATTACTAAATTTATGACATATTCCTTGCATAAATTTATTAAAATTGAAATCTTGGAGAAGTAATTATTTTTAAGAAACTGTATGGAAATAAGAAACGAAAAAATGCAAAACGAATGATATATACTATATGTTTGTTTTTTCTTTTTCTTTTATAGAAAGTTAGTATCACAAACACTCGTGTTCTCTAGTATTTTTCGATCAAAGTCAATACATGTCTATGTATATAATGTTTTTTGAGTTATACTCATTATTCATACACAATCGTATCAAAATTTTGTAGTTTTGATCCTCTGTTTATTCAATTACCGAACACTCACACCAAGTGTCGTTTATCAGCACTGTCATAGGCGTGAGAAATTCAAAATCCGGAGGATGACGTAGCTTTGCCTCATACCATCGATATGGTGACGTTAATACCGAGATTGCCATTATCGGCAAAGAGTTGAGCGATCGAGGTATCGAAGACGAGGCAGTCCGAGTTGAGGATGGCCGACGAAACACCTTCGTGAATTGAGCGGGGCATCGCCTCCCAAGTTAATCGTCGCCGATGGCCGTTTAGTTCCAATCTGCAGATAAATTATTTTATTAATAAATAATTAATTTTTATGGATTATTAAAACATACGCATTTATACTAGAAATTTTTAAGAAAAGTGGTGTAATTTTAATTTAATATAATTTTAGAACTTTCCAAACATTTAAAAATAATTCAAAATATTCAAAGATACCTTTTTGATAATGAGTAAATATGAATTAAATAAAGAGAATGTGAATTTTAAACATAAAACGTTAAATTGCATTAATAAAGTTAAATAACAACATAAAAATAAATTATAATTTAGTAAGCTATTATATACAAATACTAAACATGAATTTTAATCATTAATAATTACATCGTAAATTTTTTATAAAAATTAATGAAGTGTTCTATAAGTGTCACCTGTAAGCAAAGTTTTCTGCTTGCTTTCTTGAACCAATGAGTTGAACAATGGCAAAAAATTGTTGGTGTCCATCATACTTTTCTTGCTTTTCAAGTACAAGCATAAAGTGATGTTCGAAGCAGGACTGCATCATTACCCAATCCACTGCTCCTGGTAAATTAATATCGGTGGCCAAGAAAACAATGTCTTCACCTTCAAATGAAATTTATAATTTACCACATTTAATGGATAATTTATGCTTCATTGTTTTTAATATAAATTCTAATAATCACTTTAAATTAGATATTTTAACTTTTATAATATGTACCTTGAAGGGTTGTGATACTTTTATGGCTCATTACGAGATGATTCATAACCAATTCTAAAGATCCCTGCCATTTACAAGAGGCACCTGGGCAGGGACAACTGTACGGACGGAATTCACAGGTATCCTCATGATCAGGTTTTTCTGTATGCACCAATGTTACTGCGCAGCCACTAGTTGAATACTTGCATGGAAATAAGACATTACTAGCTACTTTCTCCATTGCAAGATTACGAATATTTCCTGTAACGAATCATGTAATTATAATTGATTAAACGATGTTAATAAATTAAACGATTGTGTCATATTAAATAAAATATGAAATGAAACATAATACTTATGAATAATTATTCTTTTTTTTTTCCAATGAAATTTTCATTGTTTAAAAATGCAAAAATTTTATCACGATAATATATAATATATCAATAAAATTATTGCGTACTTTTAGTTTTGAAAAAATTAAATACATGCAGATTTATTAAAACAAATTAATATTTGTACAAGATACTAACCCAGAGGCCCTCTGCATGTAGGGCAACAATTGAGCTTAGGTCTGCAATTACTGCAAACTAAATGTCCACTTTGACACTGCAGAATTGGTGGTAGAACATAATCAAAGCACACAGGACATTCGAACAAACTAGCCAGATCTGTCGAGCTACTGAGAGCCGAGACAGACGATGTAGAGGTGCTAGCGACGCCACGGCCTCGCTTTCCAGAACTTATATTAAGCTGTGACATGATTCCTTCATTCACAGCTCAACTACTTGATATCTAATACAATGAATTACAAAAAAAGTAACTAATCATTAAAATCTAACATAATTGTAATTACAAAAGAATGAAAAAGAAACGAAAAAGACCAAGGTTTACTCTAATTTTTAGAAAAATTCTGTTTACAATTATAAATATGTAAATTAATTTTAATTTTATATACTTTGTATTTAAAAAAATAAATAAAAACAGAATATTTATTATATTATATTGAACGTTCTGAATATAAATAGTTGCTTATGAAAGCATATATTATAAGCTATATAATTTGTATCGTGAAACTTGTAATGCAAGCTTCGCATATATTTAAAACCAATTTATTAATGAAAATTTATAATTAATTATTTTCTAGTTATTGGGTTAAGTTGATATTTATTTTACTAGTATTTGGGTTAGTGATTGAACAAATTGTTCAGAGATTCATTGCTTATACTACCTTCTAATACGGATAAGGCAAGAGATTGCTTTTAGGGACACAAACACAATTTTCATAATTTATAAAATTGCCTCCGATATTCTCGTAATTTTCAGCAAATAGAACAATTATACATGCTATTATGGAGAATACGTATTATTGTTACGATGCTCGTTATCGCGATCTCCTCATAAAAATAAAATTCATAATACCAAAACGAAATCCGCAGCAACGGCAGAAACAGCAGCAATAGCAGCAATAGCAACAGCAATAGCAGCAGCAACGTTGAGCTCCAAATCAATGTTTAAACGTCAGAGCTTCAGCGGCAGAAGGGGCTGCGGTAGCAGCAGCAGCAGCAGCTCGTATCCAGGATCGACGGAAGGCACTTGAGAGCTGGGCTGTGGAGCTGCTTCTGCCAGTAGCCGCTGCGTATAGCGCAACTGCCCTGGACTCATGGATGACGAGTATCACGTCAACGCAGTCGATCGAAGTCAAGGCTGAGTGCAAGCACGACGACTGCACAAGGACGGCTTCGCTCTGCTACGTCCTGGGCCAATTCGACCTCCAGCGCGCGCTCGACCGCGACGTCAGACCGTTGGTCAACTGCCTCATAATCGCAAACTCCTTGGTGGGTGTTTGCTCCGCGCCTTCCGCCTCAGCTTCGCGAACTCTCGATGAGCACGTCGATAGACACGGATTGTAATGCCTCGATGAATAGTTGCGCGTCCGTCTAGCCGATTCTAACCGCGACCGACGACGACTTCACTTATCCAACGACACTGCCACTCCTTACCCTCCGAATACACTACACGCGTAAGCAGTCGCATACGTGTAAGAGGCTTTATTACGTGGGTACGCAAAAGCTACGGGACTAGGGAACACGACGATTACACCCAGCAGTCGCCATTTCGATTTATACGATCATCGCTCTCTTGGCATTATTGCTATCTCTCTTTATCGCGCAAGTGAGACGAGAAATAGAGGTACTGGCGATAAGAGAGAGAGAGAGAGAGAGAGAGAGAGAGAGAGAGAGAGAGAGAGTAAGTAGTGGTGACTCGTCGTAGGCTGTCGTAGGCGTGAGTAAGCTCGAGAATGTGTATTACGCTGCTATCTTATAAAATCGTTCGCCGCGGTCAATGACTGTCAACGTGGATTCCCATTCTACTTTAAATAGGATCTTTAATCACTGGAACCTTTTATTTTTATTGTATCCAATCAGACTCTCTCGATGGTTTTTCGAATAACACTCGAGCTTATGACAAACGGATTATTGATTTTTTCAGTTCACCTTAATAGAAAAATCTTAAATATTTTATGAAACATATCCAACTATTACGTAATGCAAGGCATTTTTACATAAAAGCAATTACACACTCTCTTCTTCGTTTCGCATGCTTTCTTTAAAGTTGATTAAACGGGGCAATGAGCGCATTCTCAAACGTTTCTCGAAGGCCACTTATTATGCAGCGCTTTTCATGCTTTTATAACCAGTTAAATGCCGTTTGAGAAATTTTACTCACTAATTCAGTAATGGCCCTCTCTTGCAGTTTTACAAAATTATAGAAATTTTCTCGAAAATATAATAATAGCGTGCGTTGATTGACGATTAATGACAAAGCAAATACCCGTCAATCTTGCCATACATTAAGTTAAGCTTCGCAATGCATATATAAGAAATAAAACAAATACAAAAATAATAATATCAATAATAATAATAATAATAATAATAATAATAATAATAATAATAATAAACTTGTCGCTACCGTTTGCTGACTGTACCGACGATTGTCTGACAATATTTCCTTATATTCCCGTTCGCGCGCGCTGATTTCTCAATTTCCCGGTGTGGTTCACTAATAGCTAGCAACAAATAAAACTAGTTGATACGGTGAATAAAAGTCTACGCTCGATATGGCGAAAACGGCCAGATCTGAGCAATGCGCTGTTCGTTCGACGAATTGTAAGTAAAATGCATCGACGTATATCCGATCCTTCATCGTTCCTCGGTTATTCGTCTTTTTACTCTTATAGCCTATTGTGAGGTTATGTTTATATGTGCGTTTGTTTGCAATTTACTCGTCACTTTCCTTCGCGTAAAAAAGTAAAAATTTAACTTTTGCGCCATAATTATTGACGAAAATTTTAAAATACATTGTATTTTATGTCACAACTCGGGACATTATAAGTGTCGTCACCGTTGTCCGTGAAACACTGACGTTTCCTAGACTGTAAGCACGTGTATAGTACTTTAAAATTTCACAAGGATAGTCTATTTGCTAATTATAAGAGTCCCGGATTATTTTCAGATCACTTTTGACTTTCGTATTATTTTGCATGTATCGTTCAATTTTACAACTTATGAATGAACTTTTATTTTTATTTTTTTTTGTTGATCTTTTATATTATATTACAAGTCGCTTGTTCAAATAAATATTTGACATTTCACGAGATGGTTTCATATTACATATTAAGTATTTATTTATAGAAAATAGATATTCAGCTATTTTCTCATACTCTACCGCATATATTCTATTGCTGCATATTTAATGTATTTATTGCACACAATATATTCGATAATTTTATTGATAAACAGCAATTTTATATAATTAATAAAGCACACAATTGCACAATTCCAGCTAAAGAAAAAATGGAGAAAGCAGCCTCTAATTCTTTAATAGTATATGTGTCTCATAAAGCATGGTTGAAATCAGTAATAGAAGGAAATCATGGTAGAGTAGATATAACTGTAAACTATCGGAATAAAGACGAAGAAGAAGATTTTTCTACGTATGAATTTGAGGACGATATTCTTTATTTAAGATCTTTGGATCCAAAGCATTGGAAGGAACAAGATCATTATGCTGTTCTTGGTATTAAAAATCTTAGACATAGAGCCAATGAGGATGTTATTAAAAGAGCATGTGAGTATTTGATTATAAATATTATAGAATGTATGAATTGAAGAAATACATGAATTGTATTACCAAATTTTAATTGTATATAATTGTAGATAAACATAAAATCTTAAGACATCATCCAGATAAAAGAAAAGCCATGGGAGAAGAAATTAGATCCGATGATGATTATTTTACATGTATAACTAAGGCCTGGGAAACTCTTGGTAATCCAGTTAAAAGAAGAAGTTACGATAGCATCGATCCCTATTTTAGTGATAATTTGCCAGACGAAAAGGAAGTTAAAGAAAATTTTTATGAAATATTGGGCAAAGCATTTAAAGAAAATTCTCGGTGGTCGATAAAATCACATGTTCCACAATTAGGTGGCCCAAATACTCCAAGAGAGCAAGTTGAAAAGTTTTATATGTTTTGGTATGACTTTGAATCTTGGAGAGAGTATTCTTATCAAGATGAAGAGGACAAAGAAAGCGGACAAGAGTGAGTATTTACATTTGTAATATTTTATATGCATTGATATTACATTATATAATTTGTACATAAGTGTTATGTTTTATGGAAACTTTTAATTTAATGGAATACTTAAAATTAGATTTAATCAAAATGTTTAATTAACATAGAACAAAACTAATACAGTTTGTATTAGTAGTATCAACTGTAGATGTTTAATTAAGATTCAAGTATAAATCCCACTCACCACTGAATAATAAAAGTAATTTGCAATAACAATCAATTATACATTGTCTTGTTAGTCGAGAGATGCGCAAATGGATTGAAAAAAAGAACAAGCCAGTGCGTCTAAAGAAAAAGAAAGAGGAAATGGTTAGAATACGTAACCTTGTGGACATGGCGTACAGTCTTGATCCGCGGATCAGGATGTTCCAGCAGCAAGACAAGGACAGAAAACAAGCGGCAAAACGTGCTAAGCAGGAAGCTGCTAAGGCACGTCAACTCGAGGAGGAGCGACTTATTCGGGAAGCTGCCGAGAAAGAGCGACTCGAGAAGGAGAAACGCGAAGCGGAGGAACGTGCCAAGGCTGAGGTACTCAAGCAAGAGCGAGAAGCTCAGAAGAAAGCTCTACGCCGAGAGCGAAAAAACTTTAGAGACTTATGCAAAGTTCGTATCTTTACATGAAACTATGATTAAAAAATGTTTCTAAAATTGACTTTCTTAAAATACTAGTGGAAATTGTAATATTATTGAAAAGTATTTTTGACATCTAATTAAATAAGTCGTAAATTGTATAGTACAGTATGTATTTACGTTTTTTATCTATTTTTTTTTTTTTTTTTAATATAAAAATGTGATTTTAAAGTAAAATATTTATTGCTTGTAAAGTGCTTTTAGATCAACTACATGCACATTTCAATTTTTGATCATGTAATAAAGTTTGAGTAAATTTCAAAATTAATTAATAATAATTAGATAGATAAATAAATAGATGCAGTTTTTGTTAGTTTAAATCAACTTTGACAATAATTCTTTTCTATTACAAGTTTAACAAAGTGTTTTACAAAAGAATCAATAGTTCATTTACTTTCCTTATATTCTAATCGTTCAGTGTCTGAATTTGCCAGTTGCTCGATACGTGTAATGATGTTTATTTTCATTCAGGAACAAAATTATTTTGCGGAGTCGTCTGAGGAGAGTATTAGGCATATGGAAAACATAGAGAAGATGTGCGAATTATTTAAACTGGCTCAACTCGAGGAATCCATCAAAAATCTGAGATCCGAAGGTAAGACAGCCTTTATGAGAATAATGGGCGAAGTCGATCGGAGGATCGAGACCGAACGCAGAGCTGCTTTCTTACATTCGGACATGAAGAGTTCAGAGAATAAGCAGGTAAACATCAATTGTACATAAAGCAGAAAACATTCTTGACAAAATATTTTGTATTTTGTTTATTTAGAAATCGAGCTTTGACTATAAAACAAAAATTTTAGGTGAAGGGTCATTTAATGCCGTGGTCAGAGGGAGACCTCCAACTTCTAATAAAGGCCGTGAACCTTTTTCCTGCGGGTACGAATCAGCGCTGGGAAGTAGTGGCAAACTTTATTAACCAACACAGCAACTCATCGAGTTCAATGAAGCGGGACGCTAAGGAAGTACTAGCCAAGGCCAAGGATTTGCAGTCGACCGACTACAGTAAATCTAGCCTCAAGGAACAAGCAAACAAAAAAGCGTATGACAACTTCATCGCAGAAAAGAAACACAAAGACGTAGATGAAAGGATGCCTGCCTTCACGGAAAGACTTGAGAATCCACTCTCTAATGGCAAGCCTCATAGTGAGAATTACATTTTACTTCTGTTATATAAAAGTTTTATATCTTTTGACACCTTTTAAGATTAATTTCTTACTATTAATCTAGTAACTATACGTTTTCTAAAATTTTAATACGTGAAAATTGAAATTTATTTTATTTTTTAATCATTACAACTACATAATTTTATAATTCCATTAGTGTCTCTAAATTTCAATCTCTGCTAATTTTAATGGACTAAAGAGAATTTAGTTTAGATATAAGTATTATAATTACTATTATTTTTATGTTTCTGGTTCTAGCTGACAAACTAAAGGATATCGATGCAAGGGATAAGAAAGAAGCCCCTCCACCATCCGCACCTTGGACACCTGTTGAACAAAAGCTGCTTGAACAGGCACTTAAGACATATCCGGTTTCAGTTCCGGATAGATGGGTTCAAATTTCTGCATGTGTACCCTCCAGAACGAAAAAGGAATGCATGAAGAGATATAAGGTTCATACATATTTATTATTGATATTTTTAAATCAAATTCAATAAATTTTCAACATACTGATTATTTCACTAAACTTGTATATCTCGATGTTTTAAATAAGTAATTTTTAATTATAATGTATCTAGCATATCTAATTTTATAATTAAATTATTCATTCGTGATTATTTTTTATTTAAAATTTCTTTGAACAGTACTTTTTTACTATTTTATTATCTTAATATATTTTTACATTAAATGTAAAAATTGTTTTCGTAATTTTTTTTTAATTTATTTTTATTTATGCACTATTTATTTTTATATATATTTGCATTTTCTATTGAATTAAAAATAACGAGAATTAAATAGATAAAAATAATAAGTAATTATATGTGGAAATATGATAAATCCAGTTCTTTGGTAAATTAATTTAACATTGGAACAATATTTTATGAAATCTTGTTTATCATTCATAATAAACATATTATTACCAATATTGTTCATATAGATTAATTTATATATAGCTTATTTTAAAGATTAATTTAGAGATATTAGTATATAGATTATTATAAAGATTAATTTGATAAAGAAACATTAGATCATTTCTTTTCAGATTCGAATTCATATTTTCAAATTATTTATTTCTTAACTGTACGCAATAATTTTATATAAAGTATTCTTTTATACGTATAAATGCGTGCACACGCGCAGCACATATATACATCTATATGTGCGTGTGTGTGTATATATATATATATACATATATATATATATATATTCATTATAAGTAATTTAATAAGATCAAAATACAAAATTAAATTGAATTTATAAACGCTAAGGATCTTATGATCATTTATCAAATTCTCAAATATAATATATGGTCCACTTAATACAGATATATGAATTTAATAACAAAAGACTGAAAATTTTAATAATTAATACACTAATATTTAATAATATTTAACGATAAAATGCATACATGTTTTTGATATTGTAATTTGATGATTTGAAATAAATAATGAAAAAATCAAATGCTTCAATTTTTATCTTCAATTAGCAATATTTATTTGTAATTATATTGCAAATTTTTTAATAAGATAGAACCGGATTGTGCCGTTACTTTTATGCATCTAATAACATATAATAATTTTAATTAACTATTGTTATTTATTTATTATAACAAAAATTATTTCTTCACAGGAATTAGTAGAATTAGTGAAAGCCAAAAAAGCAGCCCAAGTACTGAAATAATATTGGCTTCAATGCAAATGGGAAATTAAAAACTTTAAGAGTGTTATTGCTTGTCGCCGTTTGTTCCAACGAAGCTATTTTTATGCAAATGAACTTAAAAAATAAAAATTGCAATCCGACATTTATTTGAGCTCACACTCAATTGTAACATAAATGACGTATTGATTGTATAAGACGTTTTTATATTAAAATAAGTTCGTTACTAGTGATAATGAGATACTTTTAAGAAGAGTGTACAAAAAAACAAAAATTATTCGAAAACTTAAGTCGTTGTAGATTAAATTTTTGTGACATCTTATTAAATGATCTTGTAATTAATGTAAGATAAGTAAAACAACAAAAAGTAAAAAGAAAAAAAAATAAGTAAATTGAATCAAGAAAATCAAAGTAGTTCTCATTGCTATTCTTCCTACCTATAAAGCAATTACGAAAAGTTATCATTATTTAGTTTGTTGAACATTCTGGATTACAAAACTAATTAATTTAAACTTAAATCATCATCTTATGATAAAAAATCACGAAATTTAGGATAGCTTAAATGCTTATATTTTAATTTGACACATTTTCGACAGTAACATCAACAACAATTTTTGTTAGTTTTTTATTCTTACTCGATCGTGCTCTTGTATTTACTTTTGTGTACTTTATACTGAGCAATTTTATCTCTTTCACACACAGGCGCACACACACACACACGCGCATAAACATATACATACATATGCATACATATACACCCGCAGGTGTTTTTCCTTAGTAAAAGAAAAGACATAGTAAAATTTTTCTTGTTCTTTTATACAATTGTTCTTACAGTTTTACTTATACGAAGCTTATATTTACCATTTCTCGTTTGCAATGAAAATAAGGAAATATTCAATATCATTCACAAACTTTTTAATGTATAGAATCATATTATTATAAGTTCTGTTGATTATGATTAATAATATCATATCGATATTTACAAGCTAGAATTGAAAAATGGTCTGAGTCTTACGTTTTTTTTGTTCATTTTTTTTCATTCTTAATAATCGACGGTATACATAATTGAATTGTTTGACTGTTATGAAAAATATGTTTGTATCGATTGCACGTTCAACTTTGCGCTTCTATCTGTCACAGTAATTATTTATTTATTTATTATTTTAATATTATTATTCATATCAATGTTATTTTTATTAAAATCGTACAAGTTTATATTTGTTTGTACGTCACAGACTGAAATTTTTCAGCAATTAAAGGGCTTTCAAAAACATGTATACTCACCGAATTGTATTCGAATGAATCGATATATTATAGCATTTTAATTTTTTATTATCTATTTTAAAAACTAGACGTAGTTAATTTTGGAATAATTTTATTGTGTTAAGCTACTATAAAAATCTATTAAACATTATTATAATTATTGCTTTAAGTTATAATGTCTTTTTAAATTTTAGAAAACAATTATAAACTTTTTTTTTAAAGTAAAATTTAATCCATACATATTTTCATAAACTGCTTAAATAGTATGTCAATAAATAATTTATTAATTAGTTAAAAAAAATAAAAAATAATTATTATTATTTACTTAAGTATGAATTTTTAATAGTATTCAGATAACAAAAAGATTTTTGCTTTTTTGGTACAACATAACATCAAATAAATATTAAATTAATATTTTTATTTTTGTACTTAAGTTTCGAACGCCTTTTATTCGCAACATTTCTTTCATCAAGAAAATTCTAAAAATTAGTTTTAAGTTATTAAGTTAAGGTATTATCAAATATGATTCTTAAAAAATGTCTAAGAATTAACGATTTTTATAAGCGATAGTGTTTGACTCAATTCAATGAAAGAATCAATATTAATATGACCAATTTTCAGAATTTAAAGAGTTTAATACAAACAATTGTTTTATTTATATACGTAGGACAAGGATAAAAATTTATAATCGTATAAAAATTTAAATTATATAATACTTATTTAAAAATAATTAAACCAAAAGTATTTAAACTATACATGTAACTAAAATATTTATATCTACTTCTTTCTGATCCTTAAAAATTTTTTTTTATATATTTTCTGTACTAGGTCTTATTTTTGGGTCTTTATAGTGGATCTTATAATAAGGTGCAACAAATTTAGGATATAAATTAGTTATTTTTACTTCTGCACGTTAAAAATTTTTTTAAACTTTAAAAAGGATCAAGTTATAAGAAGAATATACAATTCCTTGTTTGTATTAAGATTTATGTATGTGATTGAAGATTTTCGTCAATGAATTCGAAAACATAATTGTTTCTAGTACTATAAAAACATTATTTTTATGTTTTTTAATCAAATATATATAACTTGTTTAATATATGAAGTACTTAACTTGTCATAATTTAATATTTGATACTTAAAAATTTTTAAATAAACGACGAGAAGCAATTCGATCAAGTGATAAATACTTTTCGTAGTTTTGATAAAAATCTTCATTTACTTTAATTAGTTTATACTGGTGCATAGTTGGTTAAATTTGTATAATCGTTATGTATTAATAGTTTTATTTTTTCATGTTTTCCTCCCATTGCGTATAAATTTTATTTATTACATATAAATTTTCAAGCGTATCCAGAATACATTTCATTAGTTTTTATCGCCAAGAAGAAGGAACACCGTTGATTTTCTATTTTACTCATACGCAAGTTTAATAAATCATTAGTTTCTAAAAATGCGCTTATACATAAAAGCAATTTTGTTGCCATTTTGCAGTTAACTAATTTTCGTGTCTTTAATAATTATGAATTAATTTATTTCAGACTATAATATAATTAATTATAAACATATAATCAGTAAATTGCATGTATACAAATTTGTATCAGTAAGATGTGAAATAATTATTCATTTCATTGGAATTTTCCTAAATTTGGCATTTATTAAATAAATTTGATAAAAAAAAATACAAAATAAATTAATTATAAATTATTATTGTAAGTATTTTTTGTTCAGTGTATAATTCATTTATTTCTATTATAATGTAAAAAAAAATTTAACATAAAAGTTGTTAAATATATTACCAAATAATAATGCAAAGTATCCGATATTTTAAAATACATTTTTATGTTTCTTTACATCATATGCTTGATCGTATAATTATTTATAATATAATTTGTGTGTAATAAATAAAAATAAAAGATTATTAATAAAAGAATGATATTTTCATATTTTACAAAAATTTTTAAGTAATTAAAAAAAAAATTAACTACATTGTACTTCTTATTATTTAATAGTGAATTTTTTAAATATTATTCAACGTGAACTTTATAACTAACATACGTAATTTTTGTTAAAAAATTCTGCATAATTATGAATGAAATTTTTTTATACTCAGCGTATGGCATAATTGTTAATTAAATAAAAGGCGTCTGCAGTTCTAAGTCTTAAATTAAAAATATTACATTTAATATTAATAATACTTAAAAAAAAAATGCCTCTATTAGTGAAAGAAATTAACAAATTTTAAGGTTAAATAAGATTTTTATAAAATAACTTCAGAACTAAATACAATATTACCTTACAGCAAAATACTATTTATATTTGTTTATATTTTAAATATTCATCCAAGTGAAATGATGGTGATTGATTGTATTTTATTTAAGCAAATATTTTGTCTATTAATATGAAACTCGTAACAATTTTGAATTAAATATATTTTATCGTTTGAATATAAAAGGACGAGTAATATGAATTATTTCTAAAATTTCTCCTACGTATTTCTGTAATATTATGAAATGGCACAAAGATACATTGAAAACTATTAAACTATCGGTTTCCTTCTCCTGACGACTGTCTATCATTTGAATTCCTGAAATTCATTGCAAATTATAAAATTGATTCTAACTATATCATTATATTATATGTGTTCAAAATTTCCTAAAGTCCTTTTCAACACGTATGTATATATGTACACGATTATAGTTAACTCAATGTTATGACACGCGAGTAAATTAAATTTCGAAGTTTAATTCATCGATTTCATTTGCTCATATTTTACTTATTATTTTGTATCGATAAATCTTATATAATACAGAGATTCACAGATCGTATTTTAGCTATAAGATTGATAAAATCTTCGCTGGTCCGAATGAATGTTATTTGATACTTAGGCACTTGTAATCTCTTCTATACGATCCGCCGTATAAAAAAAATACGACAAAATTCTTCCGGCCACCTGTTTTTTGAAAATATACTCCAATGATTGACTTTTTAGTAATATAGTGTATTTTTTATCGATTATTTTACAAATAATATATGCATATATTTTGATTTTGTAATATTATAATTTATAAATATTTTATATTGTAATCAAAATATGAGTTAAAGGAATTAAAATTAAGTTTTATAACAATAGTAAAAACAATCATTTTAAATTACTTAAATACAAAATTTGAATTAAATTTGAAAATAATAATTCATATAAAATAGTCAATTATTGATGTATTTTTCTACGATGCGTCAAGATAAATAACAATTTTTTATTTAGTAGCCGAGAGAGAGAGAGAGAGAGAGAGAGAGAGAAACAAAGATACAGAGGATTTATAGTGTAAATATGTCAATGCTAATGAAAGACAGTAAGAAGAAAAAAAGAGCGTTAGTCAGTCGCATAAAATTTTAGTGTTTATATGTATTGTAAAATATTAGGTCACTGACGAACGTCTTCAGAAAACTAAATTTTAATTTTCATATCTTGTAAATTTTATACGTTTCATTCATTTTATTCAATTTTTATCAATAAAATATTAATTATAATAGAATTAGTGATAGGAACAGTAATTATGGCACACATAATAATAGTAGAAGTAGTAGTACTAGTGGAGGTAGTTGTAGACTAGTAGTAGCAAAAAGATGACGAGGATAATAAAAATGATAACAGCTACAGCAATAATAATAATAACAATAATAATAATAACAATAATAATAATAATAATAATAATAATAATAATAATAATAATAATAGCAGTAATATTGACGTAAAACTATAAATTTCTTAAACATTGTTGATAAAAATATTTTTAAGTGCTGATTATATTAATAAGCATTAAGATATCAATTACAGTGATAGAATAATTTCAAAATTCAAATAAAGTCATTAAGAAAATCAAAGAAATAAATGAACAATAAATATATTTTATAAGCTAATAATATGCTCGCAAATTATTATAGTATGTTAATATTTTTGCAATGAATGTCGAGTTAAACAATATACTTATTGTAAATTATATATTTTGTAAATAGTAAAAAAATCTTATTACTTTTTTATAGTATCATTCATTGCCTTTTTTATTTTCAATTGCAAAGTAAGATCAAATAAATGAAATATTTTATTT